ACTGTCTTTAACTAATAATCCAGTTACATAGTTATAAATTATGCAACATAATTTATAATGAATCTAAATTACCCTTTTTTCGTTCTTCAATTACTGCAAATTGTAACAGGAAACCATAAACGTATATTCATAATAGCTTAAATTTCATAACAGTATACATCTATTTATATTTATTAATTTTTTGTTTTATTAACCTTAGGACTGTCTTTAACTAATAATCCAGCTACATAGTTATAAATTATGCAACATACGTGCAGCTTATGTTACCATATTGAATAGCACAAAACTGGCCTGTGCAAATGTCTTACTCTTCTTAGTCTTGATACTAGTGTACCAGCATTTTGTAAAAAACAAATCAAATTTTGGTTACCATACATTATGTATGTATACATACATATATTACTATTTACAAACAAATTCTTAAATTTCAGTAAACTTTCTCAAAACACAGAACTGTAAATAAAAAAATATATACAAAACATTGATCTCTACTACTTACAATGTTACCAAGTCTTTTTGTACTCATGCATCATACTTGCTAAGCATATGAAGGATGGAAAAAATAATAATATTAATACTTTTCTACGTTTTATATATGCATTTTTAAATAATAAAAAATTACAAATCACAATACTGTTACAACAAAATTCCATTGTACTTTACCAGGCTTCCCAACTAAGCTGTATTCAGTTCTAAAAAAAAATCCCATTTCCAAACAGCATATCGCCTTGATCACCTCTCTTCAAACTCTGCATTGGTAATGATGACTTTACCCATGTAAATACTTTAGGGAAACTGACAGGATTACATAGTTTAAATGAGCACTTTTGATTGGTTATAAACATTTACTTAAGAGAAATAGGCATATATAAACAAGTATTTTCAAATGAGGAGGAGGTGGGCTGAGCCTCCATGGTGGGTTTGCTAAATATAATGACATCTCAGCAAATAGAAAAGGTAGGAGGTTCTTATTCTATATTCTAGCTTGTCAATATTGGTAAATTTGAATTTCTAATTGATTAAAAACTGCAGACTTTACATTCTATGAGACCCACAATACAATCTGAGCAACAGCAGATTGTATTGATGTACCATGTGACACACACACAAAAATTTATATTTAGCTATGTTTTTTTTAATGTTTACTTTTTAACTAAGAAATTAAGTAATGTATAAGACTAAGATTTGAATTACAAACCACAATTTGATTGCAAATTTATGACATACATTCATAAAATAGTAGTTAAACAAAATTTTGAATGTAAATCTAAGAAACATGATAACGTGCTCTGACCGTTAGCCATATCGAAAGGGTTACAAATAATGTGTGGGGAGAAAGAAAATCTGTAGTTTATGTAATTTCCTTTTCAAATCATTAATCCCAATGAGCAACCACTTGAGCACAGTATATCTGACCAAGCTCCTGGCAAAACTGCACTGCAGAGGCCAGACAGTGCAAGTCTAGTCAGTTGGTCCACATGCTGTCTTGGCAACCAACTAAAAGAGTTGAAGCTGCATTTTTGCCATTCCCATTTTTTACTACTTAGCCTAAGTATGCCATGCATCTCACTCTGGGGTCATAAAACCTTGCAGTATATCACTGACAAGTGAAACTACCTTGTTAATCATAACTATAAAAACCATCTGTAATAAGTAACTGAAATGCATGTGTCATGGGTGTATTGATACATGATAGTAATAACCTGGGAATCTTCCTTCTGAAATATGTACTAGTAAAACTACAACACTAACCAGTAATTGGTACTTTGTTAATGTTAACTTCAAGCCCCGACGACATTTGTAATAGACATCATTAAAGTAATGGTTTCAGTTAATGGCTGGTAAAAAGTTAATTCACATTTGATCAAAGTCAGACGATCTATTAAATTAAAAACTATTATCATATTTAGATGAATGGTGTTTTGTTGTCTTTTACTCACCACAGTGAACTTATATAGGTTTAAAAAATATGTAGCAATGATGGTAACAATTTATCTTTCTAGCTTATTCAGCAGACAAGCTGTTTAAGTCACTAAAAATGAAGCCAAATCTATCATTTAGTTTACCAATATTAGAAGCATAGTCTTGTTTTTTGTCCTTGTCCAGAGTTATTGATGAAATGCCAAGAGACCAGTATAAAATGGTGACAAATGGTAGATTAGGCTTCACATTTTAATTTATTATACTAGTTCTTGGCATCTGAAATAGAACTTAACAAATCATTATTGCCTTACTAGTTATTTTACAGAGGTACATATTAATGTATGATTCAAAAAAGAATGTTACATAAAACAAAAACAAGAATAAATACCTCATGATGATACAAATGTATCAATTTTCATGAATAATAGTTGTATTATTATTTTTAGTTGTTTATAAATCATTTCTTATCTGGCAATACTTTTACAGAAATTAAAAAGAAATTAAAATAAGTGATGAGGTTTAGTTAACTTAATTTTATTATTATATAAAACCATATTAAAAGCACTATTAGACAGTTAAGAAACTAAACTACATATAAGAAAGTCTGCATTCAAGAAACTGAAGAACTTTGGAAATTAACAACACTACAAACTGAAATAGCATTATCAATTTGGTATTTACATTTAATTACTCTTTACATATGCATGTTTAGTGTATAAAAATCTTACTTGTAATACATAGTTTCCTTCTAAGGATTCAAGATTGGGCAGTTCAGGCAGATTATGACGCTTGCATAATTCCTGAAGAAGAATTCTGACCTGTGGTACTATCTAAATTTTAAAAGAAAACAAAATTCTGAGACAACTATAACTTCTTCCACTTCAGACAAGTGATTAAAAAAGATCCAGTCAGATCAGTGGTTCTCAACATTTAATAACTCGAGGACCCCTTTTAATATAAAAATTTTTTGCAGCCTCCCAAAATCTATCGATTTCTTTTTTGAAAAAAAACAAAACAAAAATATTCTACTTACATGGAAAGCAGTATTCCAAAATTAAGTGTTTTAATTCATATAAATTTAATTTATGAAAGTTCACATATTACAATGCTTAAAATGTATTTCCAATAGATACCTCCTCCAACATCTAGCTTTTCCCACTTCAGTGTTACCTTCTACATACAAACTTTTCCGTTCACCACTAGCCTTAAGGCTCCCCCCTAATCTCACGTTTCCATGTGATATATCTGCATCGTTGCATGCAAATGAACATGCAACAACCTTCCATCAATAGGAAGTGCCTAAGGAGAACCCTTGGAGTGCAACACCCTATATCTTGGAACAATATAGGGACATAATCATGAGAGACCACACTTTGTTTGTACACGGTACACTCTTCACCTGGAAAGGAAGGAAAATGTTGCAAGGATGAGCAGAAGAGACAAGCACAGTCCAAAACATGCATCAGGCTTTTGGAAGTGCTAGGTGTGGTGTGGCTAGAGTGAACCAGACCACTGATCAACTCCATTCCCTAACCAGGCAGTACCAGGAAGTTGGCTTTCAGACTACCATCTTCACCTCAAGCCCAGTGAGGGAGAACAGGAAAGTAACATCTGCCCTGCAACTGAGTGAGTATTTATGTCAGCTGGTCCTGTGCCAATCTAAAACCAGACTATCTGGAAACCCAATATCCGGGTAGAGGGAAAATGAGGGAAAGCTGACCAGAGGTGTGAACTGCACTACACAGACAGAACACCACCAACCTACTCTCTACTGAGTGGAATTGGTCACACTCAGAAGGCATCTTCCATGGTCCACCAACTCAACAGCTAATAGGAACTGGTTAGTAGCAGGGGTCCCAGGCTCCATTAGAAGAAAACAATCATTTTCTTAATCAAGGTTTGATCCATACTGTAGCCACTCGTGGACTAACATGAGTAAAGCTGGCAGAGGATCCCTCTCCATTCTTCATGCCTAGTTGAAAACCTAATGCTGGCTTAATTTTAAAATTATGCTTTTTATAGTTACTTGTTACTGTCTTACAGTTATGCACTCTCCTGGATTCCTCACTGTGGTTTCCCCCCCGCACCACAAGGATACCTTGAGCAGTCTTGTAGAACACCCATCTCATGGGTGAAAACTATATATCAGTTCAGAACTGCCTTATATTGTGCAGGATACTGTAAGGGTATATAGGACTCTGCAAAAAAGACCCAGTCAGAGATGGTATGATGTGTGAAGAATAGTGACCGAAGGCAGTCTATAACCTGATAAGGGAGAAACAGCCAATGAAGGAGATGGTGTGACAAAGGTTTGAAAGGTTGTCCACATGCCAGCCCGAACAATCTTCTTGGAAGAATGATGGAAGTGAGCAGCCAATAAGTAAGTTAGGTGACAAATTTAATGGACAGACACCTGGAAATGCCAACATGCATCTCCACTGAATTAAGAATATCACAAACAGATAAGCTGTAAGATCCATTCAGTGAGTAACAGGAGAAAGACAGATCATGAGCAAGTGAAGCATTCCATGAAACAAAGAGAATGGATCAGGAACCACAAAAGGAAGAAGTGCATGACATATAACAAAGGACTGCATGAACAGAGGATATGACTGGGATTCAAACAGGAATAAATATGAGAAATGAAAGGAAGAGATATAGGGGTGAAAGCATCCTTGCATGCTGCAGACGTTTTAGGGAGAAAAGAGCAAGAAGGATATTGGAGCGATGGAACAGAATACAAGAAGAACCAATACCATAAACACCAGAACATCAACAACCACAAGTGAGGAGGAGGAAATAAGTTTTAACGGACAGATGGTATAAGGAACAAGAAGCCAAACGTTCAGATGGAGAAAGGGTAAAGGCATGGAGGGAAACATTACCCTTTCCATACAGGTTGGGGTCAGAGCGCATGTCATGACATTTTGTAGATTTACATTCAAAAAATAAATTTAACTTGTATTTTATGAATGTATGTTCATAAATTTGGAATCAAATTGCAGTTTGTACTCCAGATTTGAGTATTATATATTATTTTAGTTCTTAATTCAAAGGTATATGTTAAAAACAATTGTTAAACATCAATTTTTTTTTGTGTCACATGGTACATTGTCCTCTGTTTTTGCACAGTTTGTATTGTGGGCACCATAAAATGTAAAGTATACAGTTTTTAATAAATAAGAAACTCATATTACCAAGCTAAAAAATAACTTTCTGCTTTTTCTATTTGCTGATATATCACTATATTTAGTGAACTCATCATAGTAGTTCCACCCACCTCATCCTCTTTTGAAGATACTTGTTTATCTATGCCTATTTGTCTTAATTACGTGTCTATAACCAATCAAAAACATTAATTTTGAACTATATAATCCTGTAAGTCTTCCTAAAGTATTTGTGTGTGTAAAATGGTTATAATTGTTGCAGAGTTTGAAGAGTGACGATTGAGGCAATATGCTGATCTGATAGGAGATGTTTTAGGCTCAAATACAGCTTAGTTAGAAAGCCTGGTAAAGTACAATGGAATTTTATGGTATTGGTATAGTAATTTATAATTTTTGTTCTTTCAAATGCATATATAAAATCTACAATTTTTTTCACTATCCTCCACATGTGAAATTCGTTGAGGCTTAGCAAGTATGACACAGGAGTACAAAAACTTTGTAACATCGTAAGTAGTAGAGATCGTTTTCTATATATTTTAATTTACTGTTCTATGTTTTAAGAAAAATAACTTTAAAAATCTGTTTGAAAATTGTAATAATATACACATGGAAAAAAGTTAAGCACCCCCGTGTTTTTTTCAAGTGATTCAGATTCGACGTTCTTGTGACTGAT